TTTTTTGTAAAATTTTTCCGTATAAATTTAGAAGGAATATGTTAAGATTATATTTTTCTGAAATTTTATAAACTTGTCTATGATTGTTAACGTTTTTATAAAATTATGAATAACCATTTCAGAAAGAATATAGTAAGACTAATTATTTTTTCTGAAATTTAATAAACCATTTTTTATGCAATTTTCGGTATATTGTAACTCATTGATTTAGTTTTATGCGGTTTTAAAAAAATTATGGAACGCATCCTTTATTTTTATACGTGTGTCTAGTCCTTTTTTGTGCGATTTATTTTTATGCGTTTTTCTGTGGAACGTATCTACCGCATAAAAAGAGAACCAAGTGTATATAAACGGAGTACCCCAATTCTAGTTTGATTTCTCTAAATAAAATAATAATTAAAAGTGATTAACAAAGATATTTAGATCAATAAATATCATAGATTTTAATGAAATAACGTTTATACTAACGTAACTGACTTAGTTATAACTCGTGGTAACTTGCTTAAATCAAAGTAACCAGATGTAACTAAATACTGTCTTACTTGTAATGCGTATGATTACAAGTAAGACTATAACTGTAACAAGTAAAAATACAAGTAATTTGTCTTTTAGTACTTTACGAGTAAATCGGCAAGTAATATCTTTGTACTTACTTTAAAGAAAAATTGTTATAAATTACTTCAAGTCTAATAAATAAATTAGCTATAAACTTGTACAAGTAATTGTAAATTATTTCTATAAATTATGTTTTGATTAAAATACAATTCTCTTACAAAAAATCTATTAATCAAAAATTAATGTTTCGTTAAATTTTGTAATAATTTTCTATACAATAACTTTAGGAACTCTGAGAATTATGAAATACACTCGGTCCTCTTTTTATGTGGTTTTTATTTCAAGAAGCATTTTTTTAAATAACTATTTTAGGCTATTTTGACACGTTTTGACACAAATTTGCAAACCATTTCATCGAAAAAGATGATAATTCTGAACGAGCATTCAAGTTTCAACGCGAGCTTCAGAATTGCATTTTTGGATATCAGGAATTGTACAAAAAAAAAATAACAAAAACAAAAATAGCTAAACATTTCAGAAAGAAATAAGATAGTAAGACTAATTATTTTTCTCAAATTTAATAAACCCATTTTTATGCGATTTTCGGTATAATGTAACTCATTGATTTAGTTTTATGCGGTTTTAAAAAAATTATGGAACGTATCCGTATATTTTTATTATACGTGTGTCTAGTCCTTTTTTGTGCAATTTATTTATAAAAAGAGAACCAAGTGAACTATCTTTAATTCACTTTTGTTATAGTTTTATGTAATATTCAAGAAATTTAACCGGTTTCGTAGAAAAGTTGTTTACTAATTAAATTATCCTGTAACGATTAGAATTTACCTAATATTCGTACAATCAGATTACGTTTTATCAATTTAAATCATTCAACTTCATATATTGTCTCGTTTATAATTATATGGAGATTATTTTAGCTAAATAATTCTCACTAATTATTAATTAATTTCAAATATATTAGTTTTATGACGATTAATTAAAAAAAAAGACAAATTTCTTGTAGTCTTTTAAGTGTAAGAAATACTAGAGTTCTGCAAATAACAATAATAATGCTTATGGATAATAAGAAATAGAAAAGCTTCTGTATTTATTGGGAAGAGGCCATAAGAGGTTCTTAATAATGGTAATAAATTTATTATTTCTTGGAGGCATTATGAAATGCTATAGGCCTAAGATGCTTAATTTATTGGACACGTTAATATTCATAAACGAACGAAACGCAAATAATAAACGTTTGTAAACATCCAAACGATTCAAAAATGATCTTATCTACATATTTATTTTGTGATATTATTTAGTTTACTAACATTTCATGTGATTTTCTTGTTATTTGAAGATCATAAATGAGAGAATTTTTCTAAATATTTCAATGAAATTTTACAGATATTTTGTTGAAAATTATGCATTTACAAATGAGAATAATTGCTTCATAAATAATATGGATTTAGGATACGTTTTTTAGCTTCGTGATGTGCATTTAATGGTAGATCATTATTGGATCATGTTGGATTTGCGAATTCCAATTACATATATACACATTCCCGTTTCATTCCGATGTGCATAAATCCGACTTGCACATCGTCTTGTGTGTGATCGCGGATCTCTTCGAAGTTCAAACTAATTGTCAAGGTCGACTCTGTAAATGCACACACAGGTTCAAATCACGAGTTTACCCTATTTAGATCAATCTTAAACGCCGTGACATCCGTGCGACCCGATAACACACGACCGCACCGCAACAACAAGTACAATGACTTTATCACACAGAAATTCCCATTTGGGCCGAAGGAAAAGTTGCTTCCACACTGCAAATACACAATGAAGAGAATTTCTAAACTACTAAATCTATAGCAAATACATTAACAGTAACCTTTGTGTATAATTTAAAAAAAAAAATTAAGTATTTTTTGTTGGCATTATAGTAATTGCTTCATTGTGTTGATGAGTAATCAATGCATGGATGAAAAATTTAAAGGTTTATTATTTGTTCGAATTATCAAGCAACGAAATTGTTATCTAATCGGTCCATGTTTTGCGATTTCGTTTCATTCGTCGAGTATACTTATAAGTGCGAGATGGGTTCGTGCTGTTCGAAAAGAGATGTAGAAATCGAAGCGTTACCTATGTTGAATCAGCAATGTGAATAAGGATCAAAGTCGTCTAATGAAATGATTGATTTTGTTTCGGTTTTTCGTAGGTAATTTCATAGCGACCCACGATTTCACTCCTGACAGTAAAAACGATTTGGAATTGAGGAAGGGCGACATAGTTCAGTTTATCGACGACGATTTTCAGGCGTCGTGGCGAAGGGCCACAAAGAACGGGGAGATTGGTTACGTGCCGACGTGCTATTTAGCGCAGGAATCGAGTCTTGAGAGCGAACCGTGAGTATAACAATCGTTGTTGAATTGTTGTTGAATTGTTGTTAAATTGCGCAGTTGGTATATGCCGGATCTGAATCAGATATCTGCTGAGCAGTTGCTTCTTCAGAAGAACAACTCGAACGGAGCTTTCCTTGTGAGGAGAAGGTTGGAGACGGAAGACACGGCGTACGCTCTTTCGCTGCGCGATGACGATGATGAGGATACGCCAAAGGTGAAGCACTACAAGATCTTCCACGAGAACGACATGTACTTCGTTTCGCCCAAAATCGAGAAGTTCACGCTGCAAGAGCTCATCAAGTTGTATCACATAGGTAAGGTATTGAAGCGTCCGCATGTTCGCGCTCACTAAATCTTACTTGTTCAAGAGGACGTTAAGAATATCCTGATATTGAAGCTGCTGAAGCCGTGCTGGCGCGAGGAACCGCATCTGACCGATCTATCCGGGAAGTTCGTGAAAGACTGGGAGATCGATAGGAAAAATGTTAAGATCGTCAAGGCGATCGGTAAGGGACAAGGCGGAGACATCTTCTTAGGCAATTGGAAGAAGAGGAAGATTGCAGTCAAGATTCTGCACGGACACTTCGACAAGCAAGAGTTCACCAATGAAGTGGAGATCATGAAGAAGCAGACGCACAAGAACATCGTCTCGCTGTACGGGATTTGCACGAAGAAACATCCGTTCCAGATCATGATGGAGTACATGGAGTATGGGAGTCTTCAGGACTACTTGACGAATCCACCTAAAGGTATTACATCGCCGAACGTGTTTCAACTGCACTACATGATCTGTCAGATAGCCTCCGGCATGGAATACCTCGCCGGCAATGGGATTATCCATCGGGATTTAGCAACGCGCAACGTCCTCATCGGTCCACATCTGCTCACGAAAATCTCTGATTTTGGTCTGTCGCGCTACTTGGAGAGCAAAGAGATCTACCAGAGTCAGATGAACAGCAAATTACCGATCATGTGGTTGGCGCCGGAAAGCTTCGAAGGCTTATTCTCGACGAAGAGCGACGTCTGGACCTTCGGTCACGTCGTCATGGAGATGTTCAATGAATGCAAGAGGCCGTACGACGAAAGTCAACCTCTCAACCAGCAGCAACTCAAAAATCTTATCCAAAGTGGATACAAGATGCCCAAACCCGCACGAATGCCCGACTCCACTTACAGAATACTCCTAACCTGTTGGGAACTTAAGCCCGAGGATCGACCATCCTTCACAGATCTCCTAAATTCCTTCAGCGGTCATGATACTTACAGCGATCTTACAAAAAATTAACAACTGTTCCAATTTATACGCAAATAAACTTTTTTAACCATTACCCCAAAATATTATTGCGTAAGTCGATATTATTATTCTGAATTCATGAAACAATCAATGTAAATTTTAAATAAACATTATTCAAATTGCTCTTACATCAAAAAGTCCCAATTTTAAAGTAATTATATCAAACATGAAGCAACATCATGTTTCCAAAACCTGAAGGGGAGAAAGTTTTCAATTAATTTTTTGTTTGTTCCAATTTAAGAATTTTATTTTGTTTGTCTATTACTATTTGTTACTATTTTCATGTAACTTTTTTTTTTATAAATATGTAAATGCAAATTAATTCAATAAATA